AGGACCTCTACTCCTCTATTATTTCAACTAGCCAGATTTCTCAAAGATTAATCTTTTTTAAAGGTTCTATACATCAAATACTGTGCTGCTGTATAAGTATTGAACTGATAAAGTTTTGTTCATTCACACATTTTTATTCCTGGGTGTATTTGGCACATTGTACATTAATCACTTCTTCAACTAATAGAATACACCTTTCAAACTCAGCAGTATATTTTGAATAATTTCAATTAATCTATTCTGCACAATTTCTGCAGTCACACAGTTATGCTGCAAGAAGACTGTATTTGTCATACTCTCTAGCTCTGAAAAGAACCATTTAAGTTAACTCAAGCACTTTACACTACTTTATAGAGAGAATAAACAGGATCATCGGCAATCACAATAATTGTAAGATAACTGTGCATGACAAAACAGGCAAGAAAAGATATCTGGATTAATATCAAACAAAACAAAGACATCTAACAGCAGATTATGTACTTTTTGTTGGAAAAAAGTATGTCCCAAACACAAAAAGCGTAACTTAAACTACAGAAATTATCAACCAGACAAAGAAGGAAATCTCCAGACCTTAAAATTAAACAAATAATCATGTAAAGTGAAAATGCCAACATAAAAATACAGAAAAAAATAAAGTAAATATATAAAAAATATAAAAATATCTAGGTTTGTATTTCGGAAGAATATAGTAAATAAAATAGTGGCTACAAGAACATGTAAATTGTTTGATCCCCACAGAGCTGAAAGAAGCATCCCTTTCTCTGAAGAACCACTCTTATGAAGAGGGTGTTCCATGGAGGAGAAAGAGGCAATTGAAGCTAGAAAATGATGGATAGCAATGACCTTTCTATCTGTAAAACGTGGGCATATTTTAGGTATTTAATCTTGAGAATTGGATTATTATTAATCAATTATTCATGACAATTTGAATCTATGGTAGATGTTTTTTGTTTTCTTAAATATCACATAGCTAAGGTTCTGCTTGAGAACCAGAAAGGAGATTAAATCCTCACAAGCAAATAGTGTTCAAGACTGGCATTTTATTCTCTCCTAAACATTCCCTTCCTGCATAGCAACACACATTGAAGATAACCCAGTGCCCTTTGCAAAAATTCTGCCTAAATATTCTGAAATTCATCTTTATAGCCTTTCTTCTCTAAGAGGGAAAGAAATCCCATACCTCTTCCAGAGAACAAAGCAGAGCATTGTAGTAACACAGCGTAGCAAAAACTGCTATGGCTTCATTCCTATAGCCACAGGTTACCCTGCTGCATGTTTTAACATGCACTCTTCCTCACTTGCCAACAGTGAGTGATAACAGAAGCAGAACCACTCCATTATGGGCCACCAGACCATACAATGAAAATAAGCAGAAGGTGTTTGAAGATATTTGAAATGCACTGCCAAAAAATATAGCAGATGGAGTTATTCTAAAGCTCTTTGGAAAGCAGAACCTCCACAGCCAGAAATAAAAAAAAAAAATAAAAAAAAATGTGTGCATCTATGAAGGGGAGGGAACAGGTTTCAACATTTTCTTGAAAAAAGCTGAATAATAAATATCATTCCAACTGGGGGAACCACAATGGAAAGACTCTCATTTACTCAGGTTCTAAATCTGAAGGATATGGATAGCATTGCCAATTGAGCACACCTAAACACACCAAGTATTTGGCAGTTGTTCCTGTTCTCAAATATTCTGTAAAAAAATGTACACCTTATTCCTAGTCTAACTGAACTTCCAGACATTATACCTAGTTCTCCCTTTGTCGTGCTACAGTTGAAGAATTGTCTTACCAAATTTCTGTTTGTTGTGGTATGCTTCTTAGGGACTAGCCAAAGCCCCTCTTTACTCCCCTTGTTAACACTAAACAGATTAAATTCCAGGAGATTTTCCACAATAAGGCATGTTTTCAACTACTCCAGTCATTCCTGAGATATTTGTGGTTCTCCCCTGACCCTTCTCCAACTGAACAGTCTTCCAGTAACTTAAGCAAGTATATTAACAATCATTAGAGAAAGGTAATACAACTGCTCCTTATATAGCCCTTCCTTGTTTATATGTCAATATACAGTAATCTTTTGATTCCCAAGCTCTCTTCAAAAATAAAAAAATCCTTTGGTTGAGGCTTCCCGTAAGATTAACCATTTATAGAGGATATTATGAAAGTTTTCATTAATGGGGAGAAAGGATGCTCCAAAGGAGGTGGGGAAAAGGCTAATCTGGAAGAATCTCTAAAGAGGCTAAACAAGGGAGATTGAAAAAAGGACTGAAAGGGCAAAGCAAGGTGAACATAAAACACCTTACTGTGGAAAACGGGGGCAGCATTTTAGTTTATTGATGTTGCCTGGTAAACTGAGTTCACGAGTGCAAATGAGAAATCATACATAATGAAGTCATTACRGGGGCTCTAACACTGGACTTCGTTGTTAGTGTGCCAGTAAAAATGACCGATTAATCTAATTCCATATAACAGCAGGACAAAACAGCTGCAAACAAGGAAAACCTTGGAAATTAAATGCTGGAAACATTTATAAAGTACAAGCTAATGCTAAGACAAATGGACTATGTATCAGCTGTGGGGATGGAAAACAATCTGTATGGGAAAAAAAGAAACTGAATCACTTGGATAGTGGTGAACAGTTGTGAAGTATGCCCTGTCTAAAACAAATGAAAGAAGGTGTCTTAAAATATATTGCAATAACCAAAACACTGCTTATGTTTAACCTCAAACTTCTTCCAAAATGCAACGATCTGCAAACATTAGTTTGGTGGGGTAATAGACCAGGCTGAACCAAGATCATTCTGAGCTACAATACTTATTTTTTAACATTAAATGCCTAGGTAATGTTTGTGAAAATAAAGCTTCTCTTTGTTGTATGTGTTCTAGTTCTCAAACTTTAGTTACTAGGTATACTGAGTGGAAAACTCTGGCAAACTACAAGATGGACAATTGAGTCAAGCACTGTTCCTCAATTTTTAAAAGGAGGGCAAACTTCCCTACTCATAAGCCCCCTACACCAAAAAGAAAACCAAAAAGAAACTGCTTTGATTTCACCATTTTTGTTTCTTCCATATAAAAGACTTTAAAGTAAAGGTTATTTGAAGCAAAGAGAGGTTTGCATGATAGCATCTAATCACATACAACTCATAATAAAGCCTCTACTACACACTTATTAAGACTAAGTGTTYTAGAAACTTACAGCTTTCAGCTAAACTTGCTTTTCACAAAGTCAGAGGTAAAGCTACTCATGAATCCGGGATGAGAACAGTTATGCACACTAGAACAGTACCTTTTACCTTTCCATTTAATTCCAATCTCTGCCCTTTTCCCTGTTGCTTTTTTCTTTTAATTCAGCAGCAAATAATCCTCCCATCAGAGATAAAACTACATATAATCATCAAGTCACTTTACCAGGGGTTTCCACTATCTGCTGCAATTTCTATTRTATATTGAAAAAAATGTATAATTTCCTCACACTCCCCCAGTGCAGCCACTGCTACAGGTCTTTGTGGTGAACAGATTAGAGGAAGCATAGCACTACCCTACAGYCCTTGGTCCTTTCCTCCATAGTTCAGGAATGCTGCTAACTGCTATGAAATAAATCTGTTTTCTCATGGGTTAGGGAATAAGGAAGCTTCTAGGAAGAGGGAATCAGAAGGAGGCCATCCCAAAGGAGAAGATACCMTACACCTGTTCCATACCCTCATAACATAAGCACAAATCAATTGCTCGTCCAAGGATAGTTATGTTTTAAATAATAATATTTTGGGACTTAAGTAAACTCTCAAGCTGTGCAGGACAATTCTTCCTGTTTGTAGCCCTTTAAGAATTATTTTAAATCATCAGACAAATTTCTGATATGTTAAATTCCATTTCCTGTAAAGGATCTAGGTAACTATTAGAGGTGTAAGTATTACTGGGATTCATTTATTTAGGAAAAAAACCCCATTAACTAAGATTTGAAAAGAATTTCAAATTCTAACACAAAGTTCTGGAGAAGTTGAATGTATAGATAAAACAGAAAAACAACTAAGCAAAATAACAAAACAAACAAAAATCAATTTAAGAAGATACATAACTGCAGAAAAAAAATCACCAGTTTTGATAGCAGCAGGCTCAGAAATATGAATTTTCCCCACTGTCTACAGTATAGTGTGCATTGTAAAGACAGACAAACCCTGAAGTGTGATCAGACAACTACCTCAAGAGAGCTGGAGCAGGCCTCTGCATTTAGTCCATTTTCTTTCTGAATACACCCTATAATTAGAGAACAGTTCCTCATGCTGCCCCTCCCTTGAGCAACAAACGCTCAAACATTCACAGAATTTTAGAGCAGTATTGACAGTTGACAGAAGCATTTTTGCCTTAGGAGGGTGGAATGGACAGCATATGAACTCAAGACAAGAAAATGCAACTAACTGGCATACCTTTTTAAAGCATACAGGACATACATTAGGAATGGGGACCCGTAAAAACCAATTAAAAAACTCCACAGTTCCATATCATAGGTCTAAAACATTATTGTACAGCATTCCCCTAGTCTGGAAAAAAATTAACAACTTTAGGATTCAAAACTGCTGGAAAACTGACGCCTGACCAGTCCTCAATGCATCTGGAAGCAACTGCTTTCCGCACAGTTTACTCTGCTGCTCGTGTGCATAACCTGGGAAACTGAGGGTGATGACACCAGCACAGCTGCATACATTCATTTCTAACTACTGTAGTACTACTGATGAGAGAAAAACAGAACACTAARGCTTTAAAAACATAGATGCTCCTGAGGTCTATACCACACTACACCACTCAAATCACACCTTTCTTTATACACGTTGCTTATGCATGCAGACAGGAGTCAATCTGGGAAATAAATTCATTAGATGTGCATTACAGTTGCAAGACAATTGCATTTGACACACATTTAACAGAGTCAACAGGCAGTATCCCGCTACATTGTGAGAGCAAGCCTCAACGGCAGCAATTTGTTCTGGAAATACTTACTTCTGATGAGGTCACCATCAGTGCTATTTCCCCAGATGGACTGCTCTTGTATCTCTGCTTGTATACTTTGATTACTGGAAGGCTGGTTTATGTCTTTATCTCCTGCCACAGTAGTCTCTTGGTCAGTTTTTCCTAAGTCAAAAGAAATGTCAAGATTTTAGTTTCTACAGTATTTTTTCCTCTATGTGAGCAAAACTTATTTTTGAAAATTAAAATTCAGATAGTATAAAATATAACTTGTCTTAGCACCTCATTTTGTTTCCCTAGAATTAACTTGTAATGAAGTTAATTTTCCATTTGTTTTCCATATTTTTTCTTTAAGACTTTTAGTCATATTGTATTTAATTGTGCAAAATAGCACTCAGCAGCTTCTGTAACAAATTACAGTTGAGGGGGTTTTGTTTTTATATTTAGTTACCTTACAAAATTTTCATATAAAAATTATGTCACACAAAAAACCATTATTTGTTACTAACATACAGGTGACTGTAGCATATAAAAACTATAGTATTTCCACCAAATTCTGCTTTCTATTATTTACAGCTAAACACATAATTGAAGACAAATACAGCTGAAATATMAAAAGTGACTAGTACAAAAAATTCAGAAAAAATATAGTAACACAATTACCTATTTTTCATTAAAAACAATAGTTTTAAAAGCCATTGCTGATTAAAAGTCAATGTTTAGCAAATAATAAAAGTAAAGAGCATTTCTTCTCTCCAAATATATGTAAGGTGCAGGGAAAATTTTATAGTGAGGTTATTTGAGGGATTCTTCAGTTTATTTCACAATATAACAGATGTTGTTGATTTGATGACTTTGCCAGTTAACACAAGCAGACCAGAATTTCCTCTAATCAAGGTAAGTGACAGTTTTCATTTTCACTGTCATTAATGTTTTAATAATAAAATTCACACAAATCTTTCTGTTCTTGATTGCTATGGATTTCTCCTACTGGCATCCAAGGAAATATTTTCAAATCTGAATTTACTTTGTTCATTATTCACAGTGACAGATTATCAGTTTATATTACTTACTCAAGGGATCTGTCAAAGAGTAAATATTTTCAGTTGCATGTATTTTTTTGAGTATAGCTACAAATTTAGTATTTACAGCAAATCTAAATAAGCAACTGCTGAAAAGTCTGTTAGCTCTGTTTGTTTCAAACAAGAATATGTTTATAAATCCCTTATTACAATGAATGATACCAAATCCTCTAGTAAAGCAATTATTCCAGTCCTGAGACACAGAAAAAGCACTTACTGCTACTGTGACACAGGAAAGGTTAGTTTCTTCATGCAAGCCACAGCACTTTGATTTTAAATCCTAACTTTCTGCCTTTTTTATCCACCCTATTAAATTGAGGCACTGAACATCATTCAAAATAATATATGCCATCTTGTGTGTATAGTAGCATATGCCTTCAAGCACTGCTGCTTCCCTCCTATCAATTTCCACCTCTGAAATGTCTGACCTYGCTACCTCCGTGGTACTTCACTCTCAGTCCTCTCTCCAACCAACAACTTGTCCGTATTTCCTCAAGCCCATCCTGAGAGGAACCGTTTGACTYGGACTGGTGTAGTTGTTGAAATGAATGGGAAGATATTGCTTAACTTCAATGACTATTTGCCCCTTGCCCTGATGACTTATTCTTACCTAGATACTCATCCAACTAACACCAAAAAAACAAAAATAAAACAATACAAAAAACCAACCAAAAAAAAACCAAAACACCACAAAAACCCCAACAAAACGGAAAAAAAAAAAAAAAGCCACCAAACCAAACAACAACAAAAAACCCAAACCAAACACATAGGGTTTTTCAACCCATTTGGCAATCAGATACAAATTATTTCTGCCTAGTATGTATCAAATACAAATTGACTGCCTGGAAGTATGATGATTTTGCCTGTGCAGTTAAGCAGTAGGTTCATATGTTTTTCAAAAGTGTTTGAAAAGTGTTTTGGAATAGACTGAATAAAAATAAGTAGTGTCCTGACAGAGCTAGTGTAAAAGCACTCTGCTTTCCACAAACACTAAGCTTGAATGAGCTATTTTAGGAGATTTTGCTCCTCAATTACTTTACTACTGCAATGACACCAAAATTACAATACGTACCCAGCAGTGCAAGTACAGACCTGCAGAGCTGCTGTATRCAATTCTCTTGTATAGGATATGACTTTGCAGAACCCTATTATTTCATGTAGTAAACAATGAATGGCTTTAAGGAAACAATAATGTTAATATTATGGGGCCCTCAGCATTCTAGATTACTTTTTTATCTAAGAAATCAGAAGGAGTGCAGAATACAATCAGTCATCATCATTCATAAATTTATTTTTTTATCCCTCTGCTTTTTTTTCAGATTGGTATTTCTTTCTCCTTTTTTTTTCTCACAGTGTAGGCTGTATGTGTATTTTTCATGTGCACTTTTATTATTCTAGCTGGACATGATAAATGGCCAGTCAAGACCATGTAAACAATAGTAGCAGTTAAAAAGAAGAAGCAATATAAAAAAAATKAAAAACAATGCTACAGTTGAACACCAAACAATTTTGGTAGAAGGTTCAAAACAATTAACATTAATTATCTCTTCTTTGAACTATTGAATACACATGGAGAGTTCCTCGTCAATGCACCTAACAGAAACCCACACCATTAAACGTGTGTTTGGTATCTTACTTTGCACTCCAGAATTGCCCACTGGAGCAGTTCATCCTGGTAGATGCTGCTCTGTGGTGTGGTGAGCTCACCCTGGGCAGCAGCTAAGGACCACGCAGCCTCTCCTTCCTTCCCCAGCCCCCAGCAGGACAAGTGAAGAGAACAGAGAGGCCCAAGGGAGGTAACTCAGAGGTCAAGATTTAGGTCAGTAAGAGAACAAAAAAAGAARTGAAACAGGAGAAGCAAAGGCAATCAGTCTCCATCTCCCACAAGCAGACTGATGCCCAAACTAATCTCTAAACAATGGCTACCACCCCTACAATCTCCTCCCCTCAGTTTTAATTGCTGAGCATGACATTCTATGGCATGGAAAAGTCCTCTCATCAACCTGAGCCAGGTGCCTGAATGGTGTCCCCTCCCAAACCCACGCCTACCCCAAGTCTAGTCACAGGAGAGAAAGTGGGGAAAAAACATTGACCGATGCTGTGCAAGTGCTGCTCAGCAACAGCCAACGCACAGGTGTGCTCTCAACCTTGTTTGAGTCACTGATCCCAAACACTGCACCACCGGGGCTGCCATGAAGAAAATTAACCCCATCACACCCAGACTTAGTACAATGGGGCTTCAGAAATWGTAGACTTTATGATCTCTTTATTTGAGCTTTTTTCACTAATCACTTCTGATGCATCAGACCACTGAAAACAGACACATACTGGTGTCCTGATTCAGCTGCTTTTTCTTGAATATGTACCATGTCTCAGTTTTTGTACAAAGGAATTTATTGATTATCCCCTTATAAAAAACAGTTGATAATAGGACATAATTTCTTTTTTTTTAGTATTAGAGGTACCATGACAACATACAAGTTACAACCAGTCACACCTGCAGACAGCCTCAAGAACATTCCTGGSTTTTGTTGATGCTTTTACGTCAGGTGTCTTAGAAAGTTACAACCATAGTTTATGAAGAATCAACACAAAGACTTTAACAGAAATACTAATGACTGGATCTGGCCATAAACAAGTGTGCCTTTTTCCTATTGCATCTTCAAGTAAATTTGAAGTTTCAAATTTATGTTTCAATTAAGCTTACCCTTAAGAATTCTTTCTGTAAGACTTCCTTAGTATTTTAGCTTCTGCTTCCTTTAGCACACCCTTCCACTTTCATGTGGCTAACCTCCAATACTGACAGCCAAGAAGAAAAAGAGATGCTCTTCTTAACAGTTAAAATAATGGAAAGAAAAGACTCATTATGTTCTGAGTCTGGCAGTGCTAAAGTATAAATCCAATCTCTCTTCTAAACCACAGTAAGTTACTCTGGGTCATGTCACAAAAGCAATACAGGCTACTTACCTACCACAGTTCAGCCCCAAACCAGCAACTTGTGTGGCTCTGTACTTCCCCTAAACAGCAGTGCCAGGGCTGAAGAGCTTCTAGCCAAAAGCCCCAAGGAGTGACACCCACACAGAACACCCTGTGATTTATCCCAAAGGTAAACATAGGCAGAAACTCTACTTGTTCAGAGATTAATGCAAGTTTAAGATTGAAACAAGTAAAAGATATGACATGCTGGCAAAGTATAAAATGGGAATGGCTAACAGTCAAATAACATCTATGATAGAGACAACTGTTAAGCCACTAAGTGAAAAAAAAAATTAAAATTGTAATCACATCTCAAAATTACTGCTTCATTTAATAAGTGAATAAAGTGAATTACGGCTTTTTTTATATGGAATTTTTTACTTTAGTATATAAAAATCATTTTTATAGTACATGCATTTCATTTTAYATTTATTGTTATATTTATTTTAAAATTACACAGCAATACACATTGTCCACAGAACAGAAACTTGATTTCACCTTTCAGACTATCGTGATATCGATTGCGAACTTTTGTTTTAGTTTGGGGAATATTCCTCTGGTTACACACATTTCTTTGCAACATGACAAATTCTGCAAGACTCCACCAACTGAATAATGTCAGCAGTCTAGATTAGAAGCAAGGATACTATTACAGTAGCCCTATCAAAGAAAAAAAAAAAAAAAAAAAAAAAACCCAACAAATAGAGTTGTCAAGAAAGACCTAGGTATATGAGGCAAAAAGGATTTACAGGGCAATCTCCCCAGATTCCTTCCAATTCTGCTTTCTATACCTTTTGGAAGTTGCTGGAACATAGGTCAAATTCCTGAAAAATTCTTAGACTATCTTAGTGAATTATTTCTCTTTTCAGAGGTACATTTGTTGTATCTTTCTCTGTAATGTAAAGCATATTAAGTGGAGGTCAAATTAATATACAAAACTAATAGAAAATACCGAAAATATGGGTAATGCATGTGTTTTTGCAAGACACACCTCAAAGAGCTCAAGCCCTTGACAAATAACCAACTTTTCTTCTCCTAGTGCTCATCCATTTGTACATTCATACTCCAGCTGACTCCACAAGCCCCACATCTCCTTATTCAGAAATG